TATAGGGGAGCAGAAAAAAATGAGCCCACAGCAGCTGAGCAGAATACTTCGGAGTACGAGGCACAGAGAACCGTTTGTGTCAGGGCTGGTACGTGGCAGTCTACAAAACAAATTGAGCTGTTTCACTTTGTGAATTTCTTTCCAGTATTTTCCCCATTTCCTCCTTTTAATAACCATCTCATCTGAAACACTTCTAGCTCACTAATTTTAAGAACGTATTGAGTCCTCCTTAACGAAGGCATTTTTATGTTTAAACCGGGAAACAGCGCTGTCAAATGAACAGCCACATTCTTCTGTTTAGGGATCCTGTAACACTCAAAAACCAAACGCACGGCAGGACAGGTTTTCCATAATCCAGAAACGGGTGTGCTGCTGGCACTACCTTACATAATTTTTGTTACAGGAAGCGCAGCAAGAAGTGAACACAACTAACCAGAGTTTTGTTTGCATTAACCACCATTTGATACTGCCAACAGCAACGTCACCTCGGAAGTCCTATCTCAACAGTTTCTCCAATGCTGTAGTCCTGGCTACCAAATTGAAGGCACTCACAACTCTGGAGCATGTCTGTTCATGTTTCATTCTCACCTGCTTCTACGAACACAACCCTTCAGGAGGACAGCTGAAAACATTCAAGTCTGCAGCTGCAGCAGAGCTCAAATCTCTAGTAAGTTTATGAGCAAAGTGAAGAAAAGGACAGTATTCAGTAGTAATGCAATTCAAGCACTGCTTGCTGGTACATATTTGCAGAACACTTCTCTTTTGGAGCACAATAAAATATGGATCTAGGGCAATGCATAAGGAAACCCTTACCAAAGTTACATTAATGCCCATGCCCAGTTTTGTCCTTGCATTGCGAACATGGTCACAGGAGCTCAGTTTTATCAAGTTAGTACACTATACAAATACGTGATTTAGCTGAGCTGAGAGATGTATGCTGTGAAGAGGGCTGCACAATCAGGTTTTCAACAGTTTAGCTGCTGCAGTTGACAGTTCACAATGGCAGCCATTCATTAGCGTTCCTGGAATACAGCCTGCACGGTTCAAGCTGGTCAGCTATCTCTGGAAAATGATCTATACTCTGCTCCTTTTCCAACATGCCTAGCAATATTTTGCCCCAAAAGTCTGCCAAACATGTAGGAGGTTTGAACAAGCTTTCTCAGTAACATTCTTTTAACAGAGGCAACATATTTCTTTCCCCCCCAAGAGCCAAAATAAAGTTATTAAGCCAGCTGGAATATTATGCTTGTCAACTGCGAATTTGTGTACACATGGGCATCAAGGCAAGCAGAGAACATGACACACACTGAGCCCAAAATCCTGTCGGGGCTCTAACTGCCCTCCAGCCACAACGATTAGTACTCCTGCTAGTGTCCAGCAAATGAAGAGGCAGGGATGATCTGAGATCCAGTTCTACTTGGTCAGACTCCAAACGCAAAGGGGACTGCAATACTCACATCTGCCTCAATAAGAGCACTATTTCCTCCAACCTTGAATATCGTTGCAGTTTATTCTACTTGTAGCCACATTTAGAGAGGAAAATAAAACTATGTTATGTCGTAGATCTTTCATAACTTCCACAAAACATATTTCTCTTTAAGAGCCTAACAATTTAGACACAGCAACTGAAAAAAAAAAAAAAACAAAAAACAAACCAGCTTTGCTTTTTAAAGGAAGGTGTGACAGGCCAAAGGGGTGGGTTTGTTTTGTTTTGTTTTGTTTTTAATTATTTTGGACCACAAACCCACCCTCTATTCCCCCTCTCACATAAGATTTCTTGATTAATTGATTCATCAGGTCAATGCAAGAAACCACAGTTTTGTCTAGACTACTGTGAAAGTGTACTGGGCTATCAGAACAGGAAGTTAAAGTTTTCAGGCAAGGTCTTAAAGAAAAAAAAAGAGAGTTCTACATCTATAGATCCATAGTTCTACATATCTAACTATATATCAGGCTATATAACCTTACACCTCCACCTCTGACTATCTTAGATGCAGTTCCATTTACAACAGCAGGCCATAGATAGGAATAATACAAAGAACTTTTTTCAGAAAGATGGGAACTGAACAGCTTTTTATCAGACCTCTGTCTCATACTTACCGTATTTCTCAAATTCCGTTTTCAAACAATTCCCACCCTGAACTATTTTACCTTTAATACAGCTCCTCTTCATATTCAGAATGGTGAATGACTTACTAGATAAATCCAGGATAGCTAGAGCTATACAGCATTCCTTGATGAAACACTATTTTAGAAGATGACTATAGGAGAACGATCTACACAAGTTTGTCAAGCTTCAAGTATGTACAAATATTTAAATATAACAGGTGTCAGAAGAAATGTAGGTACCTGCCTACACATTGACACACCCCCCCCACCCCACCCCGGGTATGTTACACATTAATACAGAGATAAAGTGAAAAATGCTTTCCACAAATTTCTAGCTCTTATGACCACAAAGTAAACCAAGCGTCAACTTCCTGAACCTGCAGGCAGCCTGCAACAGTGACTCATGACGTGTGAACTCCCTTTGTGCCCTACTAGCTTTATCAGTGTCAACCCTCAGCCTATTAATGACACTTGAAGGTCTTCATTAACTATTTCACCACTGATTTTAGTAGATAGAGCAGCTGGGCATAAGCCCATGGGACTAGTGGAGCAATTTAAATAGCTGGAAAGAGGAAAAAAGCAGGAACAAGAAGAGAAGAGCAGACAAGCAGGGGGCAGTTTTATAATAAAGCCGCCTCAGTGAGTAAAGCAAATAAAAGCAAAGTGGTAAGAGGGCCTTAACAAGCTGCTAGGTTATTTTCTACAGGCTACTGTCTGGGGGAGCAAAGCACGAACCTGGATCTGCTCGCTCCGTATGTATCTCCTGTCCTGGATGAAGTCTAGGCCTGTTCAAAGTAAGCTTTTCTGGCTTATCAGTACCACTACTAAAGAAAGCGACTCCAAGCCGTGAGAGACTCTCACGTACCACACAGCTCCTTGCTCAGTACCACTTCAGCGAACGACACTGTTTTATCACCCAGTGCAGAAGCGGGCAGCCGAGAAGCACGCGTTTCTTTCCAGATAATCACAAGGTAGCTTCTCTACTGAACATGGTAGTGCGGCATGTCGAGAAGAGCGCTCTGCACTCAGCGCCCAGTCCTATGTCTTATTTGCAGTTCTCGCAGCCCAGCGTCTGAGAACGTTACTTTAGAAATGAACGACGTGGGAAGCAATGCTGTACAGTGGCTCCAGTTCGAAGACAAAATAACTTTAAAAATCACTGTTTAGGGTAAGAGAACCAAGAACTGTCTCGTTAGTGTGCAACAAAGTTAGCAGCCTGCAGGTTTGAGTAAGTAGGACAAGTTTTTCCTTATTGTTATATAAAGTGATTCCTTTGACACAGATAATCACGTCTGTTACTATGATTTATATAAATATTAAGTATTAGAAGCCATGCCAAGTGAATGTAAAATGCATTCCTTTCCTTCTCATTCCTTAATCAGCAGAATGATTAAACACAAGCAAACTATCTTCTGATAATACACTGAGCTATGAAAAAAACCTACCAGCCTGAAATCTAACCTTATTTGCACAAAGAAGAGTTTGTCAGCTGGGTCAGCAATCCTCTTAAGGTAGGCACAACTGCTAGAAAATTTTAACTGTTTAAGTTTTTCTTTTAAGTCCTTTACTGCTTTGATCAGAACTAGCACAACTCTCCAAAACACGGCTTTTGCTTGCATAAAGGCATTAGCAGAGTTACTATCTCAAAGGCACTGTTAGTCAAAGCTCCAGCAAGCACAAGGCCTGCATTACTGCAGATTTAACTCTCCAAACACTGATTTGTCTTTGAGGTTCCTCCTCCATCCACTACACCCTAACCCCACATAGGCAGCTGCTTCACTAAAAGGCACTCTGAGCAACACTGACTCTGTCATCTGAAAGCCTGGTACTCTCCCAGGGTGAGGGAAGGCTCACAGGATAATTCAGCACATCAGATCTTCTCATAATGGTGTTACTCCTATTTTTAAAATTACAAATACATATAACCCACATGTATTTCATTCCTTCAAAGTGCAGTAATCCTAACAGTAAATGTTAGTGACATTCAGTGCTCAAACACTGCCTTCCCTGAAAGTCTTCTCTCAAAGAAGTCAATTAAGAACAGTTTTAGCCATCACTACCCTCCAGAGCAGTCTGACAACCCTAAGGGAATAAAAGTCACATACACGCTTCCTCTCCCTGACCCTCCGATGAGTCTGCTCATACTACACACCTTTGTCACAAATAACGGTTCCAAATTACTCTCCTATAAATAAAACTCATTGTCAGGTTGTACTTCCCACTGTGTTTACATCTTCGCCCAAGTAAGCAGCACCTATTTTCCTCAGTGCAAAGGACCATTATCTGTAGAGCTTTCTCTGTGTCAGGGCCTACGAATTCATACCCAGATCCAAGTACCTTCCCTACTGACTAATACTATAACGTGCAAACTCAACAGCAGGATAAAAATCAAGAATCTGTGTTATAAGCCTTGAAGTTTTACCAAGATACCTCACCTGACAGCCCCAAGATAGCCCTACACTTCTATTTTTAACAACACTGCAATATAGTGGGGTTGATAAACCCATTTTAACCTGGCTGCCCTTTAAGTGTTTTACCGCGCTTTCAGAAGAACAGGCTTCCTGCAACTGGGTACAGAAGCTCAGTTTTCAGTCTTTGATTTGGAAGGTCGTATTATTTGTGTATTAAGCAGCTTTCAGGCTACCTTCTGTCCTGTTTTGTGAGAAAAGTAATCACACTCATAGCCTGAGAAGAACAAGTACAGTTCACTACTTGCCTGAACACTTTGCTATGTTTTGTACTCAAAAAAAAAAAAAAATAGCCCAGGTAAATTTCAGTCTGATTTTCTGAAAATAAGAACTTACAAAACCCACCTGACAATAACCTGAAAGTTGATTTTTTTTTTCCCCTTAAGAAAAGGTATTTTTATGGCATTATAAAATAGTTCATACCTGTCTTCATCACCATCAACGGGAATAGATATGCCAAACACAGAGCTGGCAAGACTGTTCATAGGAGTACTTGCAGGTAACTGAAGAGGATTTGCTAGAGTGTCTGGAATGGGAGGCTTCACAAGAGGTTTATTTTCAGCTATGAGAGAAAGTGGCGGCTGAGGTAGGGGTTCCGATTTTCTTCTCGTATCATCAATCTGGCCTACTAAGGGTTGAGCTTGAGTCTGAAACTGTCCGAGGTTTGACGGCGGCAGGTTCGCAGGTACGTTAGGCGTGCCTTGCATCAGCGAGTGTCCGGCATGCTGCGGCTGGACCACGCCGGTACTTCTGCTGACAGAAGTGTGGCTAGTCAGCTGGGACTGGACTAGCGTAACAGGGACATTTGGCATAGTAACAGAAGCGGTGGTAGACACACTAGGCACACTTGTACCGGGCACAACCGCAGGCACGTTCTGAACTCCAGAGACCACGGCGTGGGGAGCACCAGGCATTCCAGATACTTGACTGCTTCCACCCATTTGATGCTGAGTCACAGATTTCTGTTGCACAACCCCTGCGTGTCCCATGCCTTGCTGCACCACACCTCCTGGCTGCGGAACGGCAGCCCGACTACACGGTGTCTGGCCACTCTGCATTAAGCCCGATCCCTGTCCGACTGCTTCGCCAGGCTGCGCCGACACCCCCATCACTGGCGCTCCCACAGGTGAGGGATTTTGGCCGGTCACCTGCCCCACAGGAAGGCTGGAAGCCACAGTACTTGGAACAGAGCCCGCAGCAGCCTGTTGAATAGCTCCTTGGGACTGCATAATTGTCATGTGCTGCATGTATTCGGTCTGACCAGAAGGTTGCGTCTGCAGTAGATGCACTGGTGGAATCTGGGACTGAGAATAAGCAAATTGTTGAGGCTGAGTCACTGGTATGTTTCCCTGCTGCACCTGCTGCTGCGCCACTGGAACGCCTGGTTGCCCTAATGTCACATTTGGAGGCGCCATGCCTTTCCCGTTGGGTCCAGCCTGTGCTACACCCTGCGTATTTACCTGTGGCTGTGATTGCTGTGGCACCATCATTTGCTGATTTGCTACCGAAGCCCCAGAAAACATAGGCTGAGCAGTACTTTGAGGCACGGCCCCACCTATGGGTTGCTGTGGCTGCTGTTGTTGCCCAATGACAAAATTAGGTTGCTGGAGAGAGGACTGGTTCATTTTCTCCGTCTGGAGCAGCTGTGACACAGCAGTCAGGGAACTGTCAGCTATAGAATCAGGGCCATGGGCCGACGCTGGCACAGCCGAGACCACGACAGAACCTCCTGTGGCACCAAGGCCACTGTCCCGCTCTTGAGCAGCCTGCTCGAAGGTGCTGCTGTGCCTAATGCAATCTCCAGTCCTGCCCAGGACACCACCACCATCTGAGTCCCGGTCATAGTACTCCATACACGTCCATCGTCCTCGCCTGTAGGGCTCCCCTGTACCATGGTCCAGCTTGATCACCCTGAAGCGCGAGCTGCACGCAGCAGCCACTGTCTGAGACATCGTCCCAGGAGCGGCAGA